TATATATATATGGCTCATTTGAAATAAAACTGAGAACACCTTTTCAGTTACAGCATAAGGTAAAAGTCAGTCTTCACATCTTCCACTTAATTGTGTCCTGTCCTCTTTCTGGACACTCCCATGATCTGCCCTCACGATGTAGAATTCCTCCTCCTACTAGCCCCTGCCTTCTCTCCAAGCTGGACAATTTTTGATGAAGTTGTTTGTTCCCTGCCTTAAAACTGAAACAGGAAGTTTTCAGATAGAAGGAGGGTCATTTAGTCATACACACTGAAGTGGGTCAAGATTCTATTCTGGGTCAAATCCTGGAATCCCAACAGATGTCGATAATTAGCACTGAAGGACCAGAGCAAGTTTTTCTGTGTAAAACAAATAAATCAGACTTCCTGCGCATCTGCTCATAGGGTCTGCAAGCTTGCAGTTCTGACTGATCCAGACAGGGCCTCTGCCCCACAGTTACACCCATCCTGTGAGAGCTGTCGCAGGGCCTGCGCCCCCAGGTCTTCCTCCTGGAGAAGTTAGGCAACACACTGAATTAAGCCTTGGGTTCCTTCCTGTTCTAGCAACTGCAAGGCCACCAGCTTAACCTCAGCTGCCAGAAAACAAGACAAACACCCGCTCATGTTTGGCAGTTTGTCCTGGAGTGTGTCTTGTGTTCCTTCCAGTTTACAGGAAGAACTTGATAGTCATTGGGACCCTTTATTCCTCTCAGTTTTGTTCTTTCTCATTAAAAACAAAAACATTAACAAAAACGTTGGAGGATTTTGTTGTTCCTATCTTCGTGTTTGTGCAGTGGTCTATTGACTTGGTAGTTGGCACCTGGAAAGGTATCGAGGTGTAGTGATGGAATTAGATGATGGAGGGGGAGAAGCTGCCTTCTCCTGGGATTCTCTCAGAAGTACTTTTGAGTGACAGATAAAGGTGAGACGGTTGGAGAAACAGTCTCAGATCCTGCCAGGGTGTTTTCATAAGAAAGGAAAACCAAGGTTCTACTTTAACGTGTATCTGAAATGCTGATGCAGAAGTCACTGTCTTTTCTTTTTCTCTTCAGTTTATCAAAAAGGATGGTCAATAAAACTTAAAGGTGTGGTTAGATTTTTCTTCACTTTTGTAACATTAACTTATGACTGCGTTTCATTCAGCCTCATAATCTGAAATACTGTGCAAAATTCGAGCAGTGTCTCCTGTAACCTGGATGTTAGAGTAGCCAACATGTGCAAAAATTAAATCACGTATTTTGTCCTATGTCTAACACAATTTAATTTTACACAGAGAAAGACGTTTCTAGGAAAATGAAATTCTGGTAATTGATACTATTTCTTTGTATGAACAAATAAAATATATTTTACCAACTTGTGGGTACTTTTATGTTTTGCTTTGTGTTGCAGAACAACAAAGAAGTGATATTTTATTCAGTAACTAATCACATGTGCTCATGCGCGCGCGCACACACACACACACACACCACAAAGGCATCCATGGGCAGGTTGACCTTTCACATCTTCCACCTAATTCTGTCCTGTCCTCTTTCTGGCCACTCCCATGATCTGCCCAGCTCACGAGCTAGAAAAGTTCAGAGGAGGGTGTGCAGCAAAGCGCTTGGAAAGCATACATGAGCCCTTCCTTCTTCAGGCCCCTGCCTTCTCTCCAAGCTGGACAATTTTTGATGAAGTTGTTCCCTCCCTTAAACTGAAACAGGAAATTTTCAGATAGGAGGGTCATTTAGGGTCAAGATTCTATTCTGGGTCAAATTATAAAGGGTCCAATCCAAAATCCAAGCAATCCACAAACATCAGGGCACATTTTTGTAAATGACTGAAGGATACAGGATGGGTGAGGCCTCCTGCCCTGGGAGGAGCATAGCTCCCCCAGAGGGTGTGCTGTGCATGCGTGAGTCCAGGACACCCTGGCCACTGTGTAGGGCAGCCTTTCAGTGCTGGGTTCTGGCCGGGGTGGGTGCATGGGGGCTGCCGTGTGCGGGCATGTACATGTCAGGCGTGATGGAAGCAGAGCACTGGTGGCTGGGGCACTAGACAGGGTGGTGTTCCCGTCTTGGGTGTCTGTTATTTAGAGACCTTCCCCTGGAGCTAGAGGACAAAAAGCCTGCAGAGCCGGACATTTCTGGCTCAGCTGCCCCAGTGCCCCTCTGCTGTTTTCCTTTGGTTTAGCGCACATTCTTCATGATTACCACTCACTAGTTTAAACACTCACTCTTTCCACTTCTGGTTGAGTTTTAAAGTAGCTGACACCAAATTAACAAGATAGTGCTCAACCCCAAGAGTTCTGACTCAAAAACCACTTTATTGAGGTACGATTGGCATACAAAAATGTATATATTTCATGTACACAACTTGATGAGTTATGAAACTTTCACCATAATCAATACCATAAGCATAGTCATCACCTCCAAAAGTTTCTTCCTGCCCTCTTATTTGTTTTTGTGATAAGAATATTTAACATAAGAGCCACCCTCATAGCAAGTTTTTAAGTATTCAATACAGTCTGGTTTAACTACAGGCACCATGGCACACAGTAGGTCTCCGGGACTTAATTGCATAACTGAAACTTCATTTAAAAAGGAAACATTATAATCTTAGGTGAAACACCATGATCTCTGGCCATAAAGAGGAGGTGAGCGTAAAAAACACAATGAAATCAAAGCAATGAATTAATTTCTAGCCACACCAGCCTGAGGCTCCACATGTGCCTCCAAGGTCGCTCCTGAGGGCCAGCACTTACAAGAGCTGCACCCTGCCAGGAAGGTGAAAGAACTGGGGAGGGGCCACTTGCCCAGGGCTGCTGGTGTCGAGTCCACCAATGCCCCAAACAGGAGCATCATCTCCAGTAGCGCCGTGGGCTTCCTCACATTTCGGGAGACCGGTCGCACTGAGAAACACCTGGGCGAGACCAGGTTGGAAATGAGCCTGGCGTTTTGGGAACAGCCTGCAGAAGTGGAGGTCAGGTGGGAAGCAGGTCTCTGTGAACGCTTGGTTTTCGAAAGCCAGAACTACAGAGAGACTGTTCCTTCGAGCCTCGGCACAGGCCAGCAGGTGAAATATGTGTGGGCCTTGAGTGCTGACTCAACGTTGCTACCCATCCATTTGATGCTTTTCCTACAGGATGGTAATAAAACAAAAGTAACATCCACTTATCAACCCAATGGCACAGGTTAGAACAGCAATTCTCAAGCTTGGCCAAACACTCGAATGGCTCAGAGAGGTCTTAAGAATGCTGAGCCCTAACACACCTCAGATAAGTGACAGCAGATCAAGGGGCGAGGCCCCAGCATTGGTATCTGTAAGAAGCTCCCACGGTGGACCTGGAGGGCATAAGTGAGATAAGTCAGACA